TTCCTCTCCATCATCGGGTTCATCTCTACCAACAAACAAGAGACCAGGAGATAGAATATAAAATTCTTCCTCTCCATCATCGGGTTCATCTCTACCAACAAACAAGAGACCAGGGGCAGTGGTTTCATATATTTGCCGAAGATTCCTCGGCATCGTTCGTTGACTGAGCTCCGGCGTCAGGCTATGACAAGGGAGATGTCGTGGCGCTTGACGGAGGAGCATGAGAGCGTTCACTACGGATACATTACTCATCAGGCAGAATACTCCAATAGGTACACGAGTCTAAACTGTTTCCCTAATCTCAACAGGAAGTTTCTGGAGAATATCACTCAGAATATTCTTAAGAATAACCTGAATACTCCAAATAGTATCAACTTGATGACAAGAGCTGATTTCACAAGTACAAGTTTCAGCTTTAATTCAAGATCTCGACAACGGTCAAGCGATAAACGCCATGCCGAAAGAATCTTAGCTATTCTACAAAGCACTGAATAGACTGAGAGACAAAGAGATCAAGTGTTGAAGCCATCTACAAGTTCTTCTACACGATCTACTCAACCAAGCATTGAAAGGATCATAAGTAAGACCTATCTTATCCAAAGCATCCCAGAACTCCTCTATAAAAGATTGAGTCTGGAATACTTTGGAGGGGGTATCTGTAGGCGTCAAAAAATGCTGAAAGATATCCAAATACAGCTCAAGAGGAAATCATCCAAAAAGGCAGAAGAACACAAGTCTTGATCACAGGCGAGACAGTCTTTACTGTCTCACCTGGCGAGACAGTCTTTACTGTCTCGCCCGGCGAGACAGACTTTTACTGTCTCGCCCAGGCGAGACAGTTTTCACTGTCTCGCCCCCGCGAGACAGTTTTCACTGTCTCGCCCCTGCGAGACAGTATTTACTGTCTCGCCGTGCGAGACAGAATTTACTGTCTCGCACACGAGACAGTTATCAATGGTTCAAGAAACTGTTTTGCAACCGTCGACACGTGGCCACTAACTGTTCAAGAACGTGGGAAACGTCGTGGGCGAGAATCACGTTGATAACTACCAGAATAACGGAGTTTAAAACGTAGGAAGGCAGTTACAGCGAGAAACTGCCAGAAATGTTGACAGTATTTTACTGTCTCGCTGGGCGAGACAGCAAATTTACTGTCTCGCTGGGCGAGACAGCAAACACTGTCTCGGCCAGCGAGACAGAACGTAGGAAGGCAGTTACAGCGAGAAACTGTCAAGAATATTCGTTTTCCAAGACAGTATTTACTGTCTCGCTGGGCGAGACAGCAAATTTACTGTCTCCGGCAACTCCTTGATATTGAGCTTTGACGTTCAAGAAGAACGACTATCTTACCTTGATAAGATATCGTTTCAATTTCTCACTTCGATAAACGAAGTCAGAATCATAACCCCCTCACGATTCAATCAGAATCTGTGATTTGGTGGTCCACGAGTCAAAGCGCTCCCGGCACAGGCAAAGATCCCACGCAAGCAGTGATCCAAACAACGATCCTGTGTTTGTTTCCCAAGAGTTGTAATTTTCTTTTTGTTGTGTAAAAGAGTCTTATAAAAAGGCTGTTTTCTTTGAATTTATTGTAATCGACCGAAGATATAATGAATTCGACAACAAACTCAACTTTTGACGAAAACACTGCCGTGTACTGACAAGAATGAACCAACTATTTTTGCCAACTCAAATGTCATCACATGAATCAAATCCAAACCATTCATTCATATCACAAAAGTAGCAGAGAACTCAAGATTTCCAAACAGACTTAACTATTCACGTCAGTTTAAATCTCAAGTTCTTAAAGCCAGACTTTCATCAAAACACCACATCACAAACTACCACACCAAGAGTTACAAACATCAACAAATGTAGCAGAGAACTCAGAATGAGGCACTAATGGAATTTTTAACATAAACAAGCTCAGTGCCAGTGATCCAAGTCCAAGTTCATGATCAACATAAACAAGCTAGACTTAACTATTCATGTCAGTTAAAATCTCAAGTTCTTAAAGCCAGACTTTCATCAAAACACCACATCACAAACTACCACACCAAGAGTTACAAGTTCAAGCATGAAATATGAAAGCAACTATATAAAAACCATCAAAAAATGATCCAAGTTAATGAACAAAACAGGCCTCCAGCTCATGGTGCCTTGTGATGCCTTGTGATCTCCTGGTCTTTAAGCACAGGCCTCCAGCTCATGGTGCTTTGTGATCTCCAACTTGCTCATGGTGCCTCGTGATCTCCAATTAACTGCAAATGTATAAGAGACATGTAATGGCTTCTGAATAGAGACTACAGTTTAAACAAAATAGAAGAATATGGAAAATGCAGCATGTTAGAGCTAAGGACAACTGTCATTTGAAGAGAGGAATGAGAACAGATACTTATAACCATGCAGCAGAGAGTTGGTCGGTCGACCGGTCCGGTCGATCGAAAGCTCCATCGGTCGACCGCACCGGTCGACCGGATAAGTGTTTGCTTGATTTCCTGTTTTCGACCTGGATAACGGTCGACCGAACTTTCCATCGGTCGACCGAATTTTTCCATCGGTCGACCGACGGAATTTTCGGTCGACCGACAATATAGCCGTTGCTTTTTAACGGCTCTTTCTCTGAGCTGTTTGCTGGGGTTTTTGGTCATTTCGTTTTGGGGTTTTTGGCTGAGCTTTGAGTGGGTATATATACCCCATTGCTGATGTCTTTTCAAGTGAGCCAAGAGAGTTTAAAAACAAGTTTAAGAGAGTTTTAATCAAGGGTTTATGTTTGGTTTAAGTGTGTTTATAAGCTTTTAAGCATTTGAGTGTTTTGGTTTTGTGAATCACTTCCACAAGAGCTTGAGGAGATCATCTATTGGTGTTTGAGCATCCAACTCTTCTCCTTCCACTCTTGATCTATTGAGAAGTTTTCTAAACTCAATCTAGCTTCATATTTTATATTGTTTGATTATCTTTTTATTAAGCTAGTGTTCATATTGAGTTTAGTTGATTTTATTATCTCTTTGTTCACACACAACCTATTGAGCTTATTGTATTTACATTCATAGTATAATTTTGGGTTGTGAGATTAGTGACTTAGAGTTGTGCTTAATTGAGTTCTCACCTTGTTTAGAGAACAAATCATTTGATTTATATTGTGCTTATTGTGAGGATTCACTTGTAATACACTTGTACACCGAGAGAAGTGTGTGGTGAGAGACGGGGTCGAATCCAAGAGGAGTGGCGTCGGTTGACGTGCCTAGGGAGAGGTTGTAACCGAGCACTTGAGGAGGAGGACACGGGCTAGGACCAACACTTAGTGTGTGAGGTGTGATTACATAGTGATTGTATTGTGAGGTGTAAACGTTGTTCGGGTGAACGTAGAAAACCCGGTTGTGATAGTGGAGATCTCCTCGAGGTGAGGAGCGGGGGCGTAGGTCGTGGGGACCGAACCTCGTAAACATATCGTTTTGTTTGTGATTGCATTGGCGTTCTTATTCTTGTTTTCATATCTTATATCGCCTTTGTGTATTGCTCATCATATTACCCTATCACTTGTGTAGATTGTTTATTTTACCCTTGTGTTAGTTTATATATCCTTGCTCATATACTTGTAATATCTCATTGATAGGATATATTCATTTGTTCATATTGCCTTATCCTAGCTAATGTATCTTATTGCATTTTATTCTTGCTAGGATATTTTGTTATTAGTTTTAATTGGCATAAAATCGGATTAGATTAGCATAAGACCCTAATCACCCCCCTCTAGGGTCTAACACATTGAAAAAACATGTGATGTGATTTGTGGATGATTCTTCTATGTGAGGATAAGCTTGTATAACTTGGGTCGTTTTGTACTTAGTTTGAACTTAATTTTCACATTGTTTGAAGTCAGTTTGAACTCAATTTTGTGCTATGTTTGTACTCAATTATGAGCTTGTTTGTGGTCAGTTTTGTCCTCAAATTTTAGCTTATTTGTGGTTATTTTGTACACTATTATGATTTGTGCTCAGTTTGTAGTGTGTGTCTGCTAAGCTTGTTTGTTCAGTAGGTGGGGGTAGATCATAATATGTAACATCCTTTTACTCTTGAATCATTTAACTTTCGTATTTTGCATAGTTTGGCTGATAGGAGTATGTGCTCTGATTAGTACATAAAAAAATAGAAGTTATCATGGCCGTGCTCAGCATCAACAAATTCTTAGGAGCTGACTTCTCATGAGTCAACATGGCCAACAAATTCTTATCATGACAGTGCTCAGCATCAACAAAATAGAAGTTATCATCAGCCTTAAAGCTCACAAACGGTCGATTTGGTCTCTGGCGGCCTAACATCTGAGAACTTGATCGTCTTGGGGATCGACGTAGCCAACCATGACAGCATTTCAACATCAAAAGTCGTTGAACATGGTTTCCATTTTAGCTTGTGAATATATAGGCTCACAAACCAATGAAGAGCTACAGTTGTGGATGCACTGAGGAAAATAACGAATATGCAAACAGATGCAAAAAATAACAACATTCCAACTTTTCCAGCAAAAAATGAATCAATTAAGGTTGCACGGATATGTATACCAGTAACAAATACAACATAATACGTATATACAATATCCCAAAAAAGCCACAGATGCAAATACTTCATGAATACACACATTAAACAATTTCACCATAAACACAATTAGAAGAAACTAGCCAACAATTACCTCCAAAGTTTCAACCAAAGTTACATCTTACATCCAGGTGTTCTAAAAAATTACAGTCATTTTCATGTTTCAAAATAGAAAAAGTTACAACCAAAGTTAATGTCGATACATGTAGACTGAGATCCAAGATGCTCCAACAACCTGTGCTCCAACCAAAGAATTTCTCCTTCAAAATATGTACATCCTCGTCAGCCAACTATCTACATTCCCATCTATATTAAATTTCTCCTTCAAAATCTTCCAACGTTCCTCACAATTGTGAATAGTGCTAGCTCGGTACCACTTATCAATATATGTAAAATTCTCATCTCTATTGTGCTTTCATTGGAAGTTGCTGCTCGGCAATATGTCTGCCAATATGCCAAGAACAAAAACGGTGGCGGGTATTAGGAAAAACTTGTTTGATAGCTCCTCCTATTTGTGCATCTTGATCAGTAATAATTGCTTTTGGTGCAACCCCATGCATGCATTTTAGCCATTGAGTGAACAACCAAATAAAGGTATCCTCCTGCTCATCTGCAAGTAACGCACAACCAAAGAGAATGGACTGCCGATGATGATTTACACCTGTGAATGGAGCAAACGGTAGGCTCAAATGATTGGTTTTATATGTGACGTCGAACACCACTACATCTCCAAAACTTAAGTAAGAAGATCTTGATCTCCCATCAGTCCAAAACACGCTCCTTATAGTCCCCGACTGATCCAGCTCTATGGAAAAATAAAATTCTGGATCGATTTCCTTCCTATCTTGAAAATTCTTTATGATGGATATGCATTCATTGCCAATGTTGTTCTTCCTAATAGTTCTGATGTGATCAATACATTGTTGTGCAGTAATATATTCTTCATCAATGATGCCTTTGCCTGTGGGAATAATGATTCCACACTTTATCAGGGCTCGATAATAGATGGGTTAGGTGCTCTCCCTCAAACTTCGTTACAATCCATGTCTTAGAGGAAGTCAACTTAATCTTCATTCTTGCGGGACAATCCACTCTAGTATCTGGACGGCGATTGACAAGTTTCCCACAATCTCTCTTATCTGATAACCTTTTTCTCCCTGCCTTGTTACAAACAAAAACTTGAGAAATAATTTCTCTTGTCTTTCTTGACTTATCAGCAGTTTCCTTACGGATTCCAAAACCCATTTTTTTGGCATAAGAATTGTAATAGTTGTATGCCTCCTCCAATGTAGCAAATTCTTTTCCTTCGTATGGCGCCTCTCCTATGAAAGTCATCTCATTCGGGCCTACAAGAGCTATATGCAATTCACCATCAACATCCATGAAATTTTGGGTATAATTTTTACTTAGTCCAATGGGTAGCACATCATCTGTTTCAACATTCATTGTCCTCTCATCGCCCTGAAACAATTATCATTATGTTACAAACGTCGAGAAATTATATACTAATGATGCAAGTTTATAACCACACTGCAGTAAAATTGTTTCCAGGATTCGAAAGTATTAGAGTATTTATTTATTTACAGCCTATGGCACAACTAATTAGATCCACCGCTTGAAATTTCTTATCAATGACATGATAATTTTGGGTAATTACAAACAACAAAGAAAAATTATACCTTGATCTACAGAATTCTTACTGACGCATGTAACTGCTTATGAGAATGTAAACCTAATAAAACTAGCACGTGTAGAAAAGGAACATTATCATATTAATGAGTACGGAACATTAAATGACAATAGCAACAAAACCAGTGTACAACATATTTTGAGGACAACAGAAACTGTCTGCACATATTCTTTTCCCCCTCAGAAATTGTCCGCAATTAGCATAATAACCCAGAAAAGCATTAGCATAATAACGCAATTAGCATAAAAATTCAAGTCATCCCCAATTCACAGCAGAATTGAAATCTTAACAGGTTTTGTCGAGACTGTACCAAAAATACCTGCGTCGACGTCGGATGCGAGAGAGGAAGAAGTGATGGGCCTTCGACGGGGGAGATCGGCGTCGGCGTCGACATAGGGAGGAGGGAGGGTGTCGGTCTTGACAGCGGGAGGCGGAAGGGGGGCGTCGGCGTCGGTCTTGACAGCGGGAGGCGGAAGGGGGGCGTCGGCGTCGGTCTTGACAGCGGGAGGCGGAAGGGGGGCGTCGGCGTCGGTCTTGACAGCGGGAGGAAGAAGTGGGTTTGGCCGGAGGGCGGGGAAGGAAGGAGGGGCTGTCTGACGGGAGACAGGAGGCGTTGTCGAGAGCCCACCGGGGGGGAGGACGAAAAGTGTTGTATGGCAGGTGGGTAATTTTGGGAGAAGGGGGAGAGAGAGAGAGATGGCGCTCACGAGGGCAGGGGGTGGGTTTTTTTTCGATCAGGCTTGATGAGCCTGGTCCATCGCATATCTCAAGCAAAGGGTTTTTGCAAAATAACCATCCCAGCATTGATTAAACCCATTAAAAACCAGATCAGTGCATGAAGATCTGTCCCATCGGCTGGCCAATAGGAGGAAACTCCCTCCTATAGTCAAGTGACCTCCCATTAATCCTCATATATATATATATATAAACGTACTATATATATATAAATATAGTTAAAATATATAATATATACTATTATAGACTATAAATACTATAACTACTATAGTATAATAACACTATCGTATATATAATATAATACTACCTTGGAGAGGATTAATAAAAACCTCCTTTAGCCATAGAAAACTAAAAACCAATATCATCCATTGGATCTAGATGAATCCAATGAAACAGTCAACAGACACATGCATTAATTATATGCATTAATTACCTCAACGAACACAAATCTGGATTCACTACAGTGAAAAACGTGTTCGTTGAGGTAATGAATCTGGATTCACTGCAGTGAATGACATGTTCGTTGAGGTAATGAATCTGGGTTCACTGTAGTGAATCTGGATTCATTGCATTGAGGTAATTAATGCATGTGTTTAATGAGGTAATTAATGCATGTGTCTGTTGACTGTTTGATTGAATTCTAGCCATTGGATGATATTGGTTTTTAGTTTTTAGGCTAAGGAGGTTTTTATTAGAACCTCCCCTATATATATATATATAACAAAGCCTATTATTTTGCAAGTGTCCATCGGCAGTTGCTAAAAGCAACTATTGTTTGAAATTTTCCAAAAAGAATGGTGATGTGGACCATGTGGTGTTGGGATTCTCCCCAAATCGATCTCATAACTGAGGAGTGCATGGTTCTATTGCTAGGAAAATCGAAAGGTAAGTTAACATTACAAAGGGTGAACATTTGAAGGGCTAATGCATAAGAATATAAAATGATGCATATTAATGGTTCTTGAACTTTCTTTTTGGAGACCATAAAAGGGATGCGCTAGTGTTGAGATTTTCGAGAAAGTCATCTCCTCGTGATTAGGGAGGATCATCATAGAACTCTTCAGTGATTGGTGTTTTTGGATTCTTTGAGTCATGTAGTGTGATGATACGCGTCTTAGAGCTTCTCGAGTTCCTTAAGAAACATGAAATATTTATGAGAGGGTTTTTAAATTTCGTCCATGCAAAACTTATTTCTCCTAGAATCATTCTAACTGAAATTGTTAATAAGATAAGTATCGTAAGATGGTTTAAAGATAAATGTTCATACGATACTTTAAGATATACAAGATTCACACATGACATCTCAACCAAACATGAAAAACACTACCGTCAAAAGATAAATGTTAATAAGACAGTTCAAAGATAAAAATGGCTATAACTTCTTAGCAGTGTATTTGCAAATAAGTCTAATTTTAATCCGTCTGACAATTACTTCGCTCTCTTTTTTTCTTCATCTACTTCCACTCAAACAAATCTTCTGGCCGGTCCACTCAGATTTTAATTAAGCAATAACAAAATGTAAACGCGCTACCCGTGTGCCAATTTTTTTTTAAAACGACATCGACACAACACCTAATCACTCTGTGAAACATCACAATACGCAAATTAACGTGCGTGCAAGTTATGTTAGTCATGTACAACTTTAATATTTGGGAAAAATGCTTCCCCAGCCCCCAAATTCGTAACAAGTATGCTCCTCCCTCCCAAGACTTTTTCAACGCTCTAAAAACCCCCAAATTCGTAATAACTATGCTCTGAGCCCCCAAAACACAAAGCCCAAGAATTTTACACAGGTAAAGACTATAATACCCATTCTCTCTCTAATATTATATTCGTAATAACCATACAATCTGTCCTCTCTCCCTCCTCCCTCCCCCACCATTTTTGCCCTTGCCCCCTCCGTCCCTTCTGCAACCCTCGTGGCGGCCGAAGCTCCTCTCCGGTCTCACGCCTCGACCCCTCGCCTCCGCTCGCCGAGATCCTCCGTGTCCACCGCCGATCCCAACGCGGCCTCCGCTCGACCCCTTGCCTCTGTTCCCAACCCAATCCCTCCTCCCCCGGACGCCACATCAAACCCCTCTCTCCATCCCTCAGGTCCATCATCCCCCACCATCTATAGTGCTGTCGTTCTTGAAAATTATTGTACTTTATGTCTTTTCATACAACTTGTGCGTGTGTGTTAAATACTTCATTCATCTTTTTCTGCAGGGAAATTTACCGTGGTTGTTAAGGTTATACGCGTTGCTTGTTAAGGTTACGTGTTGGTTGTTAAGGTTATACGCGTTGCTTGTTAAGGTTATACGCGTTGGTTGTTAAGGTTTCGGGTTGCTTGTTAAGGTTACGCGTTGGTTGTTAAGGTTATGGGTTGCTTGTTAAAGTTACGTGTTGGTTGTTAAGTTTAACCGTAACCTTAACAAGTAATCCGTAACCTTAACAACCAACGTGTAACCTTAGCAAGCAACCCGAAATCCGTAACCTTAACAACCAACGTGTAACCTTAGCAAGCAACCCGAAACCTTAACAACCAACGCGTATAGCTTTAACAACCAACACGTGATCTTAACAACCAACGTGTAACCTTAACAAGCAACCTGTAACCTTAACAACCAACACGTAAATCGTTTGGCTTTTGAAAATTCGTAACCTTAACAACCAACACGTAACCTTAACAAGCAACCTGAAACCTTAACAACCAACGCATATAACTTTAACAACCAACACATAACCTTAACAACCAACGTGTAACCTTAACAAGCAACCTGTAACCTTAACAACCAACACATAAATCGTTTGGCTTTTGAAAATTTCATTAAAATTAAAAGTGAAATATTATTACAAAATCTAGCTCACTCCCACTACCTAAAACAAATGTATGCATCATCGTCTTCTTCCTCTACCCTGTCAACGGTCTCAAAACCATGGCAGTCCACCTCCTCAGTGAGTGTTGAGTGGTAAAATGAAAGTAATCATACATTGCACAGTTTTATGTGGTGCTGTAAGCATGAATTTTCTGAAGGAAAGTATAGAATTGTTACTGTTTTTTATTTTTATGAAGTTATGAATTATTATAGTAGAAGTACAAAAAATTAAAGCTTTTTTTCTATTTCCTTCCTTTTTTTATTTTTATGAAGGTTTTACGGGTTGCTTGTGAATGTTACGTGTTTGCTTATTAAGGTTACACGTTGGCTGTGAATGTTACGCGTTGATTGTTAAGGTTACGGGTTGGTTGTTAAGGTTACGGGTTGGTTGTTAAGCTTAATCTTCACAATTAACGCGTAACCTTAACAAGCAAACCGTAACCTTAACAAGCAATACGTAACCTTAACAAGCAACCCGTAATCTTAACAACCCGTAACCTTAACAACCGTAACCTTATCTAGCAAATAGAAAAGATAACTATCATTGGGTACATGTATACTAAACGTGAAGAAAGAAAATACCGTTGATGCAAGAGAGAAGATGCATTCTTTTTCGAACAGGAAAACTTATTTTGAAGGGCGAAAATAAAAAAAGAAAAAGATCCCAAAAAGAAAACATGTGACAGGAAGAAACTCTGTTGCTAGTAAATCTAGATGCATTAGTTTCAGAAGCTACAAAGCAACATCAAGTTCGCACGTGTCATTACGAGATCAATTCAATCATTAGCCATCTCTCTGCTCCTCTTCGCTAGGTTGCGCTCCAGCTTGTGTGCATCCTGGTGTCCTCCAAGAGCTTGGGCGCTGTAAAAAGTCCGTCGGCAATAGTTACACGAGAAAACTCGTGCGTGCTCGGGACGAGGCCCAGGCTGCAGGGACAGGTTAAGGTTGAGGTCCTGAGCTTCATGAAATATTCTCGGCGAGCGGAGGCCGAGGGGTCGAGCGGACGCCGCGCTGGGATCAGCGGTGGACATGGAGGATCTCGGCGAGCAGAGGCGAGGGGTCGAGGCGTGAGACCGGAGAGGAGCTTCGGTCGCCACGAGGGTTGCAGAAGGGACGGAGGGGGCTAGGGCAAAAATGGTGGGGGAAGAAGGAGGGAGAGAGGACGGATTGTATGGTTATTATGAATATAATATTAGAGAGAGAATGGGTATTATAATCTTTACCTGTGTAAAATTCTTGGGCTTTGTGTTTTGGGGGCTCAGAGCATAGTTATTACGAATTTGAGGGTTTTTAGAACGTTGAAAAAGTCTTCGGAGGGGAAAGCATACTTGTTACGAATTTGGGGGCTAGAAGCATTTTTCCCTTAATATTTTGAAGTTAATTAGCTCCTCAAATCATTGAAACTACTAATAAACCCCCTCATCTTCTACCTACAAACAAAAATGGCCAACGAAGAAAACCGCAGCCTGCACGTAGTAGTATTCCCATGGCTGGCCTTCGGCCACATGCTCCCATTCCTGGAGCTCTCCAAAGCCTTGGCCAGAAAAGGCCACAGAATCTCCTTCATCACCACCTCAAGAAACCTCCAAAGACTCCCCAGACCCCCTCCCGAAATCTCAGACCTCATCCACTTCGTCCCTCTCCCCCTCCCTCAAGTCGACGGCCTGCCCACCGACGCCGAGGCCACGTCAGATCTCCCTGCTGACCGCGTCGAGTACCTCAAGCTCGCCTTCGACCGCCTCGAGCGACCCTTTCGCCAATTCATCCAACAAACCTCCCCAAAACCCGACTGGATCATCCAAGACTTCGCGCATCACTGGGTCCCTCCCGTCGCCGAAGAGCCGCTGTTTTCTTTTCCATTGTCTCAGCGGGATTTCTCGTTTTCTCCGGCCCACCATCCGAGTTCCCCTCAGAATCGTCGTCGAGAAAGACACCAGAGCAGTTCACTGTCCCGCCGCCGTGGATCCCTTTCCCTTCGAAGCTCTGCTTCCGTCTACACGAAGCACGGAGGCTTTTTAGCGACAGCGTTGAGCTGAATTTGTCAGGCGTTTCGGACTACCAGCGGCTAAAACTCACACTGGACGGCTGCAAGGCCGTAGCTACTCGGAGCAGCACGGAAGTGGAATCCCAATGGTTGGAACTGCTTCCGAAGCTTTACGAGAAGCCTGTAATTCCCGTCGGTCTACTCCAGCCCGAAACCGAAGGAAGCGGCGGAAGTGAAGGAAACCACATCCTCCATTGGCTCAGCAAGCAGAGCTCAAGATCCGTCGTATACATTGCTTTCGGCAGTGAAGCTACACTGCGGACTGAGTTTACGCATGAACTTGCTCGGGGGCTCGAGCTCGCTAAACTACCTTTTATCTGGGCTCTCAGGAAGCCCAGTGATATCGCCGCCGATTTCGAAGAATTGTTGCCTGAGGGGTTTGAGGAGAGGACTAAGGGTTATGGGATCATTGCGAAGGGATGGGTGCCGCAATTGAAGATATTGGATCATGAATCTGTCGGAGGATTCTTGACGCATTGTGGATGGAGTTCTGTGATTGAGAATTTTCATTACGGACATCCGCTTGTTCTGTTGCCTATATTTATTGATCATGGGATCATTGCGCGAATTCTCGTGGAGAAAGGGATTGCTGTCGAGATCGAACGAGATGAGGAGGATGGGTCATTCACGAAAGAGGCGGTGGCTGCGGCGGTGAGGTTGGCGGTGGTGGAGGAGGAGGGTGAGTGGATGAGGAGGAGAGCTAAAGAGCTGAGAGAAGTTTTGGTGAATAAGGATCGTCAAGGAAAATATATTGATGAATTTATTAATTATCTGCAGAACCACGAAAGCAAAACCTCAAATGCTTAGGACTGTTGTTGCTTAGTTTGCTTGTAGTTTATCACAATTAGTACGCTATGTTTTTTCGCTCAGAATTTGAGTTCTTGTCCTCCGTCAAATCTTTGTATTAATTTGTCCCCGTTGATATTATTACTGTTCGAATTGTGACAGTTAGCAGATAAATCTTTGAATTGTGGCAATTAGGAGGTTTTTGGCTTCGAAAAATCGTGCTATTGTAAGTCTGTGACAATTAATAAGATCTTTCGTGCTTAAAATGCATATAAGCAACTTCAAATCTCTCTCTTTTTTTTTTTTTTTGTGGGGGTGGGTGGGGGGGGGGGGCGGGAGTAGGGGATCAGATGTACCCCCAGCCCTACTCCAATTACTATAGTCTATAGACCTTACTGTAACTAAAATTTCTATGTAAGCCGTATTGTGGGGACCACAGACCACTTATTTCCTATTTTTAAAATTCCTTGCAAAGTTAAGAGAATACGTGTATAAGTGAGTACTGTTGGATTTAAATCTAACTAAATCTAATTTGTGGGCGCATATGATTAATCAATGTGTATTGTTATCCTTAAGGATAACCCGCATAAAGTGATCAATCAATTTGGGTTAATGGGTATTTAAATAAATCATTGGCTAAATGTGCAGATGTCAGGTTGTAATTATAATTTGATGAGGGGCCAAATTATAAATGTACAACACCTATATATAGGGGTTATGGTCGCTAATCTAGAGTAACACTCTCATTCTCTTCAACCCCATCTAAAGAGAATTCTCAAGAGAGAATTCTCAAGAGAGAACTCTCAAGATTAGAAAATCCAAAACCTAAGTTTCAGATTCGTGAGAATCCAAATGGATTCAGGTATGCTCCCGCTCTCATGTTAATCTCTATGAATTAATCACGGTAATAAATTTAACAAGTGGTATCAGAGCCACTGTGATTATTTCTTAGGGATTTAAGATCAAAGTTAGGGTTTTTTGATCAAAAATTGTGTTTTTGAGATCTGTTTTCAAGCATGAACAGTAAAGTTCATGTCTTGCTTTGTTTCCTCTTTCGGTTGATCATTCTGGATCAAAAAAAAATGATCCAGACTTTGTTCAAAGTTCATGTTTTGGATCTGGATCTTCTCAAGATTCAGATCCAGTGCATCTTCATTTGGTTTTTGACCGACGTTCACCACGCTCTTCACCGGCGAACTGTTCGCTGGCAGCCCCGCTGTCAAATGAAGACGGCGGCGGCGGCAATCAGGAACCCTAGGGTTTTCGAAACCCTAGGGTGCGGGAGATTTAGCGACGGCGGCGGCCATCTGCAGTAAGGAACCTAGGGTTTTCGAAACCCTAGGTTGCAGCAGCCCAAGCGGCTGCGGCGCTTCATCTTTCGAAACCCTAAGGTGGAGAAAGACCATTAGGGCTAAGGAGTTTACCTAGGTATTCAGGCGAGCTCGAAGATCATTCAGGCGAACCCTCGTCAGCAACGTCTGCAGGCGAGATGGATCTTCTTTTCAGGCGAGCTCGAGCCTATTCAGGCAAGAGCCTGCTCAGGCAAGCTCGAGCCCTAAGTCAAGCAAGGTCAAGCCTCAGATCAGGCAAGCTTGATGCTCAATTCATGTGAGGTTTCGACCCTCAATTCAGGCGAGGTTGAGTCTCGGATTAGGATAGCTCGACGCTCGATTCAGGCGGGTCCTTCGATCTCGATTTTAGGCGAGCTCACACGCTCGATTTATGGCGAGATTGAAGAGCCGTACTTCAAGCGAGCTTCGCCGAAAGCTTCAGGCGAACTTGAATGTTCGAGTTACAGGCAAGCTCGAAATTAGGATCTGCAGGCGAGGTTTCAAATGCTCGGTTTCAGGCGAGCTTAGATCTCGTTGAAGGCGGGCTCGAACTCGAAATTTCCAGGCGATCTTACGTTAGGAATTCTTCCAGGCGAGCTTGGATTTGGGAATTTCTGCGAGCATCAGATTTCCCATGGGCTAAATGCAAGCTACGGGTGATTTCTTGTTTTTAAGTTTGGGCATAGGCAAAGCCCACTTAAACAATTATTTAATTATGGGTCTGTTTTACTCGATTCAGGCCAGAGCCCAATTAAGGTTTTAAGTTATGGGCCTTTAATAATCAAGTTATGCATTATTTGAATGTCTCAAATAAATTCAACTTATGGGCCTAAATTTATTTGTTTTGTAGGCCGAAACTCAATTAAATTTTTATTTGGGCTATGTAGAAATAGGCTGAAGCCCACTTAATTTTATTTTTAAGTTGGGTTAGAAACCAATTTAAGTCTTGGGCCTATTGAGTTTTATTTGAATGTTCAAATAATTTTATTAAGGTTACGAGCATGTAACAATTAAGATATGGATTATTTGATTATTAATCAAATAAATTTTAAGGTATAGAGCATTAAATTTTTAATGGGCCTATCTATGGTTAATTAAAATAGAGAAATCTATTTTAATTACTCAAGTAAAATTTAGAATTTTATTTTGAATTAAATTTTGGTAGTTAATCAATTATTTAATTCAAATTATATGACACTAAGGTATTAAGTTTGTCTCTCATTCCAAATGATTTATTGAAACAAGATGTTGCCAAAGTAACATCTATTGTGTAGATTGTTCATGAGGGGTGTTAGATGTTTGTGTGTATATTTTCGTGTAAATATTTAATCGGGCCAAAGGAATGTTGATATTTATTTAGACTGCATACACATTTGCGAAGATAAATTAACATGTGACAATTATAAGGTTTACATGTAAATTAAAGCCGAGAGAAGGCCAAACACAATCAAAATAACAACATGAACACAAACAACCAATTTTAACGTGGTTCGGCAAATTCCCTACATCCACGGGGCAAGAAGAGGATTGGGTTTTCACTAATAGAGAAAAAAGTATAAACTGAGATTACAAATCACTTGAACTCACCAATTAATCTCACCAACAAATCTCTAATTCTCTCCAAATAAAACTCTAACCAATAGCTCAGAAAATACCTCTTTTCTGTGCTCCAAATATCCCCAATTCTCTGTACAATTCTCTCTTCCAATCGTTCCACATATATAGAAATCCTAAAATCAAAAATATACTAGGAATTCTAAAACAAAAAATAAAACAGATTAGGAATCCTAATAACCTGTTACCAAAAAAAAAATTAATAATCCCAATAACCTGTTACCAAAACAAATTAGGAAACATATTAGAAACCTGCTATCCAACAATTCTCCACATCGACGAAGTTTTCCTAAAACTGAGTCGACGCTAATACTAACCAAATATCTCACTTGTTGCATCCAGTATAAAGTGGAACAAATCCACAACAATGGACTGAATCCACAACAAGTTAAGAATCCAAACAAGAATGTGAACAAACTCCAAATGTCGGTATCAACTCACCAAACCGGCTGTATCATAAATGACTGCCTATGTATCCTCTTGTCCAAGATATCAAGCCTTTACGTAGTTCACCAAATGGCCTCCAAAGACCCTCAATCCAATAGAAGAGTTCTCAACTCTTCACCAACAAATCTGTGGCTGGTAGCTCTCTCAATGGCCCCATAATGAAACAAACTAAACACCTCCACTTGAGGTGAACCAACGACCATATCCAAATCGAAACTATATCCACCAGCTACACTCGAATCAACCAACTCATCATCTGCATCCAAATCCAAAGAATCCCCAAATTGTGTCACCTCAGCTGGAAACCCAAACGATGCAGTATGATCTGGAGTATGTAGAGTAATTTCCACCCAATGTGAAGTAGCATCACACTCCATCTGCTATGATATCCCAATAATCTGATCAACACTCTCTACCTGCTAAGAGTTAAATGTGATATTTTTGCTCAGAACAAAATCAGAGTCTCCCAACTGATAACCAAACGAGCCTCTGAATCCCAAATGTGCAATAAGATTAAATCTCACATCCTCGATGTGACCAAATATTAGGCAACCAAACATCCGACACAACCAAAAATCTAAAGTAGCTCAACCAGATCCAATAACTCCAAACACAGTAGTCGGCAACCTATGACTAAGATGAACCAAATATATCGAAGCTCCAAAACTCCTTGTAGGCTGTTTAAAAATCACAATAGATAGCTGATATCCCATCAAACACCGATGATGAAAGTTATAATCTGACGACTTCCAGAAGGCTATAATTTAAAGACTTTCACATAGATCGATGAATGTTACAATCTGACAACCTTCACAACAACTGATGAAAGCTCTAATCAACAGCCTTCATAATCAACATCGGGAGTTACAATCTGACGACTCTCATATTTGCAAGGAGCCAAGATGAAGATTACAAGATGACGGTCTTTGCAACGCTCCAGCAAAAGAGATCACAAATTGATGGTCTCTTCACATCAAAACGCAGAGGTCATCCCTGCGTTTCACCATCAAAACGCAGAGGTCATCCACCATCAAAACGCAGAGGTCATACCCATGTTCCAGAGTCAAAACGCAAGGGTCATCATATCCCCAGCATTCAAGTCCAGACGCAGAGTTCGTGGACTCTGAAACGCAGAGTTCATACAGAGCCCAACTCTGCGTCTCAGGTCCAAAACTCGGAGTTCATCTCTGCATCCCAACTCTGCGTTTCAGATTTACAATGCAGCGCGACCTGTGCGTTCAGCCACTAAAATAGGCCCAACTGTGCGTTTGACTTGTTCTTACCAATGTCCTTTATGTTCCTGCAATTACAAAAAAACCTACTTAGGGCATTATAATTCACTAAGGATAATAACGTTAGCATGGAATATTATCCTCATGCTAGCTAGCTTGCATGGTTAAGAACATGCAGGAGCAAATTAATTCTCTTGCATGCATGGGAGCCTTGATCATTACAAGTTATCCGCAGCTACTTATCACAAGAACTCCTTCATTGCATCACCAAAATTGTCCTTTCCCTCATCGCTCTCATCTTATTTTGTACCTACGTGGGAGAATGCATGCACGTCCTCGCGAGGATGTCACAATCGTTTAGGGCATCCTCATTAAAAAGTATTGTAAGCAAAACTATTTCAGAATTTAGTTCATCTCTTGAAAAGTCATGTATTGCATTTGAATCCTTCTCATATTGATGCTATTGAAAGTTTTACTTTTGATATGTATGGTCTCGCACTCGTTCATTCTACTAATGGTCATTCTTATTTTGTTCATGTAGTGGATGATTGCACAAAATGGGTATTTTTGTTTCGTACTCGAGCTAAAATTTTT